ATATATATATATATATAAAACAGAGATGAGGTCTCACTGTTGCCCAGGCTGGTCCTGAACTCCTCGGCTCAACAGATTCTTGGGCCTCCATCTCCCAAACTGCTGGGATTACAAACATGAGTCACCACACCTAGCCGACCATGTTCTTTTATGGTCACAAACAAGAATGTCTGTTTATAATATTTTGAGAGTCTCACCCGATCGCCCAGGCTGGAGTACAACAGCGAAATCTCAGCTCACTGCAACCTCTACCTCTCAGGTTCAAGACATTCTCCTGCCTCAGCCTCCCGAGTAGCTGGGATTACAGGCATGTGCCACCATGCCTAGCTAATTTTTGTATTTCTATTTATTTATTTGATAATGGATTTTCACTCTTACTGCCCAGGCTGGAGTGCAATGGCATTACCTTGCCTTACTGCAGCCTCTGCCTCCCAGATTCAAGTGATTCTTCTTAGCCTCTCCAGTAGCTAGGATTATAGGCACCCACCACCATGACCCGCTGTTTTTGTATTTTTAATGGAGATGGGGTTTCACTCTGTTAGCCAGGCTGGTCTCAAATGCCCAATTTTGAGATCCACCCACCTCAACCTCCAAGAGTTGGGATTAATAGCATAAGCCACTGAACCTGGCCAGTAAGTAAAATTTGTAAATAAGGAGTATGTTGTTACCAGAATTCAAAGGTACTCAGAGCTACTGGATTTATATGTTTTTAGTAAGTGTACTGGTGAATCTCCTTGGAGAAGGACATTATTAATGTAATGTCATTTCTGGAGAAAGGTGTGGATGTTATCAACATCTTCTCTGACTCACCTGTTTAAGGTACCCCATGGGTAGTAGGAAAAAGTATGTCGTATCCCTCAGAGGTGGACCCAAATTGTGGCTGAGAAGCTATTGAGATGGCAATGAACAGAATATATTAGCCAATCGTATTAGTCAGGGTTCTCTAGAGAGACAGAACTAATGGAATGTGTGTACATGTGTGTGTACATGTGTGTGTGTGTGTGTATATAAAAAATTAACTCACATGATCACAAGGTCCCACAGTACTGTCTGCAGGCTGAGGAGCAAGGAGAGCCAGTTTGAGTTGCAAAACTGAAGAATCTGGAGTCAGATGTTTGAGGGCAGGAAGATCCAGCAACAGGGGAAAGATGTAGGCTGGGAAGCTAAGTCAGTCTCTCACATTTTTCTGCCGGCTTATATTCTAGACTCCCTGGCAGCTGATTAGATTGTGCCCACCCAGATTAAAGGGGGGGTCTGCCATTCCCAGCCCACTGACTCAAATGTTAATTTCCTGTGGCAATACCTTCACAGACACACCCAGGATCCGTACTTTGTATCCTTCAATCCAGTCAAGTTGACACTCAGTATTAAATGTCACACCAATCTACAAGGGCAAATTATTTATCTGTTGTTGAGTGAATATAATCAGAAATCTAAATAATATTGGGTATTGAGTATGGAGACCTTGATGGATGCGACCACAACATTAACGCCGTGATTAGTCTGTCATAAAGGGCCATTTATCACTTTTCTTGTTTTTTTCTACAGACCAGCCCAATCAGAGCCCACTACAGACTCAACCTCCTAGACTCAAGCAATCCTTCCACACCATCCTTGCAAGTAGTTGTGACTACAGGCACACCTTGCTAACACAAGTTTATTTTTTTGTAGAGATGGGGTCTCATTATGATGCTCATCCTCCCACCCTGGCCTCCCAAAGATTAGCTGAGCGTGATGGTGGGTGCCTGGAGTCCCAGTAACTCAGGGGGCTGAGGCAAGAGAATTGCTTGAACCCAGGAGGCGGAAGTTCCAGTGAGCCAAGATCACGCCACTGCACTCCATCCTGGGCCACAAAGGGAGATTCTGCCTCAAAAACAAAACAAAACAACACACAACAAAAAACACAAAAACAGGTGATATTTTCCTTCAATCCAGCTACTACTGTTTTGTTTTTTGTTTTATTTTTGGGATGGAGTCTCCCACTGTTATTTTGGCCATGTACAGTGGCTCATGCCTGTAATCACAGCACTTTGGAAGGCCAAGGCAGGTTGATCATTTGAGGTTGGGAGTTCAAGACCAGCCTGACCAACATGGAGAAACCCTGTCTCTACCAAAAATACATAATTAGCCGAGGGTAGTGGTGCATGCTGTAATCCCAGCTACTCGGCAGGCAGAGGCAGGAGAATTACTGGAACCTGAGAGGCAGAGGTTGCAGTAAGCCGAGATCATGCTATTACCCTCTAGCCTGGGCCACAAGAGCAAAACTGTCTCTCAAGAAAAAAGAAGAAAGAAAAAAAAACCCTGGGCCAGGCGCGGTGGCTCACGCCTGTAATCCCAGCACTTTGGGAGTCCGAGGCGGGTGGATCACAAGGTCAAGAGATCGAGACCATCTGGTCAACATGGTGAAACCCCGTCTCTACTAAAAATACAAAACATTAGCTGGGCATGGTGGCGCGTGCCTGTATTCCCAGCTACTCAGGAGGCTGAGGCAGGAGAATTGCCTGAACCCAGGAGGCGGAGGTTGCGGTGAGCCAAGATCGCGCCATTGCACTCCAGCCTGGGTAACAAGAGCGAAACTCCGTCTCAAAAAAACAAACAAACAAACAAACAAACAAAACAACAACAACAACAAAAAAACCCTGAATTGTAGAAGAAATTGTTAAGGAAAAAAAAAGGAACCAGAACTTGGAGAGTTGGAATGTTCTCAGCCTATCCATACTCCAAAAATTAGAAAACTTGTACTAAAGAGAATCCTTAAAGTGTGGCTAAAGAATCATTTGATAGAGATCATGAGTGAGACTGTATCAGCTATCTTATCACAAGTGAGGATAGACTGGATTATATTAGAAGAGATACTGCCACTTAGATGGTGCCACCTAAAATGGACAGAGAAGGCAGAACAGAACAGGCATGGCTGTCACACTTCTTAGATTTCACAAGAAGGGGACATAGAAATAATCAGCTATGAAAGTGCACTGACAGTTAAGGATGGTTTAACTCTTGCCATGCTCTCCAGGATCCGTGGGAACAGAAGAGATCCTTTGAGGAGGATTTCTCAACAACCTGCCTCTGAGGCCTACATCATCTTGGCTTCTGGTAAATTTTGACATGAATGTGCCACACTGGCAGCTACTAACCAACAGGGTCTGGGACCAATCTGCATGATTTATCTCATACAGAACTTGTTAATGCTATGATCCTATGAATGTAATCACCAAGGTGAGGCAGCATGCAGTACTGACCTCAGCATCCCAAAAGAGATGCCCAGATGCAGGCAACCATGGAGAAATTGTATTCAGAACCAGTAGGTTTAATTTCAAACACTTGGGAGGGCACCTAAGGCCAATCCATAAGCCACTACAACCCCTTAAGGCATTTAAGACCAATCTGATGATCTTTGGCATCACTGCCAATAATTAAAGATGGCAACCGATGGGCTAAATGTTAACACTCATACCCTCACATTCATAGGATTTCTCCCCAGTGTGAAATTTTTTTGGGGGAGGGGGACAGTCTCACTGTGTTGCCCAGGCTGGAGTGCAATGGCGCCATCCCAGCTTGTTGCAACCTCTGCCTGATGGGTTCAAGCAATTCTCCTGTGTCAGCCTCCTAAGTAGCTGGGACTACAGGTGTGTGCCACCACACCCAACTAACTTTTTTTGTATTTTTAGTGGAGATGGGGTTTCACCATATTAGCTAGGATCTTCTGACTTTGTGATCCTGTTAGGCTAGATCTCCTGACCTCATGATCCACCTGCCTCGGCCTCCCAAACTGTTGGTATTACAGGCGTGAGCAACTGTGCCCGGCTATGAATTGTTCCATGTCTACTTAGGAGTGAGGAAGAAGCAAATGCTTTCCCACATTCTTTACATACAAAGGGTTTCTCTCCGGTATGAGTTCGTAAGTGAACATTAAAGCCCGAGGAATACATAAATGCTTTCCCACATATCTTGCATACATAGCGCCTTTCTCCAGTATGAGTTCTCAAATGTTTAGCACGATGGGAAGAAGTAATGAAGGTTCTTCCACATTCACCACATATATAAGGCTTCTCTCCTGTGTGAATTCTTGTATGTTGAGTAAGGCTTGTAGATGTAGTGAAGCCTTTCCCACATTCCTTACACTGGTAGGGTTTCTCAGCACTGTGATGTCCTTTGTGTATAGCAAGGCCTGAGTACTGAGTGAAGGCTTGCCCACATTCCTTACATTTATAGGGTTTTATTCCAGTGTGAGTTCTTATATGTTCAGTAAGTTGAGTTGACCTAGTGAATGCTTTTCCACACTCAGTACATTTGTGTGGTTTTATTCCAGTGTGAATTTGAATGTGATCATAAAGGCAGGAGGAATTTCTAAAGGATCTTCCACATTCTTTACATTCAAAGGACTTCTCTCCTTTATAATTTTTCCCATGTGCAGAAAGTTGAGAAAAATTAGTGAAGGATTTCCCACATTTCTTAGTCTTTTTGGATTTCTTTCCAGTATGAACTGTTACACAGTGCTTTAGTCGTGAGGAAGCTGTGATGGCTCCCCCACATTCCTGAAATTCACAGAGCTTCTCTCCAGTGTGGATTCCCATGTGATTATCAAGACTCGCAAAATACTTAAAGCCTTTTCCACATGCCTTACATTTGTAGGGTTTTCTTGCATTGAGAATTTGAAGATGTACAGCAAGGCCTGGAGTTAGGGTGAAGACTTTTCCACATGGATTAAGTTTGGAAAGTTCCTGTCCAACAGAGGCTTTCTTGTGCACAGAGAGGACATCGTTTCCAGAACAATTATACTCAGAAGTGTTCCCTACATTCTGAGCTCTCATGAGCGTCTCAAAGAAAAACCATTCACTGAAGACCTCTCCACAATTCTTACAGTCACAGAGTTTCCCTAACCTGTAGCTTCTTTCCTGTTGATGAGGGAATAAAGGATTTAAAACGTTTTCAGACATATTAAGAGATTTCACCCATCTAAACACAGAAGCATTATTTTGATGACAATTATTTCATTATTTTACCTTTTTAATGTTTAGCGTGTGTTTTTTTTTTCTTTTTTCTTTTTTTGAGACAGTGTCTGGGGTGTAGTGGCACAATCTTGGCTAACTGCAACCTCCACCTCCCATGCTCAAGCAATTCTCCTGCCTCAGCCTCCCAAGCAGCTAGGAATACAGTTGTGAGCCACTGTACCTGGCAAATTTTTCTATTTTTTTGGCCAGGAATGGTGGCTCATGAGGTAAGGAGATCAAGACCAGCCTAACCAACATGTTGAAACCCCGTCTCTACTAAAAATACAAAAATTAGCTGGGTGTGGTGGCTTGTGCCTGTAATCCCAGCTACTCAAGAGGCTGAGGCAGGATAATTGCTTAAGCCTGGGAGGCGGAGGTTGCAGCGAGCCAAGATCAACCCACTGCACTTTAGTGTGGATGACAGAGCAAGACTCCACCTCAAAAAAAAAACTCTAATTTTTTGTAAGAGCCGGCATTTTGCCAAGTTGCCCAGGCTGCTCAAACTACTGAGTTCAGGTGATCTGCCCGGCTTGGCCTCCCAAAATGGTGAAACTACAGGCGTGACCCACCATGCCCAGTGTATTTTAAAGAGCTGTGGTTTCACTCCATTGCCTGGGCTATAGTGCACTGGTGTGATCATAGCTTACTCTAACCTCAAACTCCTGGGTTCAAGTGATCCCCTTACCTTACCTTCCTGTGTAGCCAGGACTATAGGCATGCACCATCAAGCCTGGCCAACTTTTCAATTTATTTATTTTTTTGAGACATAGTCTGACTCTGCCTCCAGGCTGGCATACAGTGGCCCGATCTCGGCTCACTGCAACCTCTGCCTCCTGGGTTCAAGCGATTATCGTGCCTCAGCCTCCCGAGTAGCTGGAATTATAGGCACATGCCACCACACCCATATAATTTTTTAATTTTTAGCAGAGACACGGTTTTACCAGCCAAGCTGGTCTTTAACTCTTGACCTCATGATCTACCCACCTCCACCTCCCAAAGTGCTAGGATTACAGGCGTGAGCCACTGCACCTGGCCTCAATTTATGTTGATAGAAACAGGATCATGCTAGGTAGCCTAGGCTAGTCTCAAACTCTTCAAGCAACTGCCCTGTCTCAACCTCCCAAAGTGCTGGGTTTATAGCCATGAGCTACCATGGCAGCCTACTTTCATAAGTATAATTCTTACAATTTTTATGGTTTCATTTCCTGACTCCTTCACTTCTTCCAGTTTGAATGATGGGATCTTTTGCTAGAATTCTATGCCACTGGCTCTAATTATTTAAAAAAAAATAAAAATAAAAACAACACTGTAGTTCTTTTTTTATTATTGTGAGGGGTAGTTTGAGACATGTTCTGAATCTGTCACCCACGCTGCGTACCATGGCACAATCACAGCTCACTGCAGCCTTAATCTCCAAGGCTCAAGCCATCATCCTGCCTCAGTCCCCTAAAGAGCTTGGACTAAAGGTGTATGCCAACACACCTGGCTCATTTTTTATTTTTTGTAGAGACAAGGTCTCCCTGTTTCCCAGGCTGGTCTTAAACTCTTAGACTCAATCAATTCTCCTGTGTCAGCTTCCTAAAGTTCTGGGATTATAGGTGTTAGCCATGGCACCCAGCCAAATTCTGTAGATTTTCATGAAACTGTTTAAATCCTCCATGTCTACTTACATATGTGGGAATGTGTACTTGTGGGTATTTTCAAGTGACAAGTTAGTTATACAGGTATGGAACATCACAAAATTCATCATATTCAGACTATCTCTCTGGAGACCCTGCTCCCTCAACAGTGCAGGCTACTTCTTTAATTCTCCCAAGTATCTCTCATTTGTGCTCTTTTTCTTTTTTTTTTTTTTTTT